GCAGCAGCAGCAGCGAACTTGCACGGAGTGGGTGACCTTGGCGGAAAGCTGGGAAGGTTTGAAATACTTTTTGAAATAAAAAAATAAATTTTGAAAATAAAATAAATAAAAATATTTTGAAATTAATTTTAATTTCTTTTTCAGTTTTCAACTCCGCAAATTCAAATGACGGCGGGAAGTCCCACTGAAGACTTTTCTTCTTTTGAAACTTCGAATTAATTGAAAGTAATTTTAAATTAATTTAAAAGTAATTTTAAATTAATTTAAAAGTAATTTCAAAACTTCAAATTAATTCAAAAACAAAAATGGTCCACTGGTCCATTCAAAGCAGCTCCGAACAGTTGGCGCTGCACTGCACCAATGGTCACCTGCCACGCGCCGCTGCTGCTGCTGCTGCTGCTGCTGCTGCTGCTGCTGCTGCAGCAGCAGCAGCAGCAGCAGGAAGGCAAGTGAGCTGCGTCTTGGGCTAAAAACTCAAACTTTTCTCCCAATTGAATTTAATTTGCAGAATTTTATTTATTTATTTTCTTTTTTCCGCTTTTGCTGCTCAACTCCCCCAAGGCGCCGCAGCAGCAGCACTTGGCGGAAGGCGACTTGAAGCGAACTTGGAGGAAAGTTGAGGAGAAATTAACTCCAAACTTTAATTATTTTCCATTATTTTCTTTTATTTTCTTTTATTTTCTTTTTATTTTCTTTTATTTTCTTTTTTTTTCTTTTTTTTTCCTTTTTTTCGAAGTTGTTTCCCCCAAAAGATGAAATTCAAAGACCGGCTCGGCGCCGCCGAGCAGGCGACCCTCAGGTTCCTTCCGTTGCTTCTTCTCGTCTTCTTTGCTGCTGCTCTTAGCGCAGCAGCAGCAGCAGCAGAAGTGGAAGCAGCAGCAGCAGCAGCAGCAGCAGCAGAAGTGGAAGCGGCAGCAGCAGCAGCGGAAGTGGAAGCAGCAGCGGCAGAAATCACAGCGGCGGCAGCGGAAACAGCGACGGCAGCAACTGCAGCAGAAATAGCAGCAGCGGAAATAGCAGCAGCAGCTGCTGCAGCAGAACTAGAAGCAGCAGCAGCAGCAGCAGCAGCAGCAGAACTCGAAGCAGCAGCAGCAGAGCCGCCTCTGAGCTGGAGTGAAGAGTGGGCAGCAGCTGCAGCAGATTCGGTTCTTCCTTTAGAAGACACTTTTGACCTTTCGGAATTAAATGAAAATAAAACAAATGAGTTTTCCCTTCAAGAGACCCGCTACTTGGAAGACTCTCAAGTGAGCAGCAGCAGCAGCAGCAGCAGCAGCAGCAGCAGCAGCAGCAGCGGCAGCAGCAGCAGCGGCGGCGAGATGGAGGCGGCAACTGGAGGCGCGGAGCCCTCAGCATACATGAGCGCAGCACCGATCCCTGCAGCAGCAGCAGCAGCTGCTGCTGCTGCTGCTGCGGCTGCTCCTCTTCCTGCAGCAGCAGCAGCAGCAGCTTCTGCTCCTCTTGCTGCTGCAGAGGATGCTGCTGCTCCTCTCGCTGCTGCAGTGGGTGCAGCAGCTCCTCTTCCTGCTGCAGTGGATGCTGCTGCTCCTCCTGCTGCTGCAGTGGATGCTGCTGCGCCTCTTCCTGCTGCAGTGGATGCTGCTACTCCTCTTGCTGCTGCAGTGGATGCTGCTGCTCCTCCTGCTGCTGCAGTGGATGCTGCTGCTCCTCCTGCTGCTGCAGTGGATGCTGCTGCTCCTCTTCCTGCTGCACTTGTTGTTTCCCTTTCTTCTGAAGCAGCTGCTGCTACTCCTGCTGCAGCAGCTGCTGCTGCTGCTGCTGCTCCCCCTGAGGCAGCTGCTGCTCCTATTCCTGCGCTAGCTGCTGTTCCTAGTCCTGCTGCAGCTGCTGCAGCTCCTACTCCTGCTGCAGCTGCTGCAGCTCCTCTTCCTGCTGCAGCCGCTGCTCCTGTTTCTGCTGCAGCAGCTGCTGCTGCTGCTCCTGCTGCAGCCCCTGTTCCTGCTGCAGCTGTTGCACCTCCTGCTCCTGCTGCTGCAGCTCCTACTCCTGCTGCAGCTGCTGCAGCTCCTACTCCTGCTGCTGCAGCTGCTGCAGCTCCTATTCCTGCTGCAGCTGCTGCAGCCCCCGCTCCTGCTGCAGCTGCTGCAGCCCCCGCTCCTGCTGCAGCTGCTGCAGCTCCTGCTCCTGCTGCAGCTGCTGCGGCAGCGGAAGATGCTGCCGGAGCAGAAGCAGCAGCAAAAGACACAGAAGAAGAAGCAGCAGCAGCAGAAGACACAGAAGAAGCAGCAGCAGCAGCAGAAGACACAGAAGAAGAAGAAGAAGAAGAAGAAGAAGAAGAAGAAGAAGAAGATGAAGAAGATGAAGATGAAGATGAATATGATGAAGATGAATATGAAGATGAAGATGATGAAGAAGAAGATGAAGATGAAGATGAAGATGAAGATGAAGATGATGAAGAAGAAGAAGACGAAGAAGATGAAGAAGATGAAGAAGAAGAGGGAGCTAGCAGCAGCAGCAGCAGCAGCAGCAGCAGCAGCAGCAG